TTTCCGGTCGCTAAAGGTGCCAAATCTGGTCGCTAAAGGTGCACACTAGAACCTTCTGCACCACCAATATTTATTTTCACTAAAAAGGATCTAACTCCACCATACGAACTCGGAATTCGATGATTCTTGTTTCTATGAGTCAAAAATAATGATACGAACATAGTCCTTCAATTGAAACTCAATTCGAAGCTCGTTTGCTCAGTGCGATATCCATTTTGCTCGTTAAACAATTAACATATGTTTCGCGTCAAAAACCCAATCGCGACTTGATGAAATTAGACCAAGCTTTCCAGACCAGTCCTATAATTCATTATCAAAATTCCGGAAGTCTCGAAATCAAATTTCAATCTTTAAAACTAAAAATGGACCTTTGGATCATTACGTACTTATGCTCAAAACGGCAAAAATCTTCCAAAAACTCTTCCAAAACTTATCCGAGCCTCATGTGACCCCGACCAAACATGCCAACACACCCCATAACATCATTCAAACTTTTTCCAATCAACAAAACACCTCAAACAACATCAAAACCATCAATTCACATCGAATTCAAGCCTAAGTTTTCCAAAAACTTCCGAAACACGCATTTGATCAAAAACCCGACCAAATCACCTCCGAATGACATGAAATTTTGCACACACATCCAAATCACATAATGAAGCTACAGAAACTCTCGGAATTTCATTCTGACCCTTGGATCAAAATCTCACCTATCAACAAGAAATCGCTAAAATACTACTTTCGCCAATTCAAGCCAAATTCTACACCGGACCTCCAAAACCAATTCCGATCGTGCTCCTAAGTCATAAATCGTGTAATGGAGCTAGACAAATCATAAAAATTCCGATCCGAGATCATTTACACATAAGTCAACTCTTGGTTAAACCTTTCAAATTCAAAGCTTTTAATTGAGACTATTCTTTCAAATTCATTCCGATTTTTCCTGAAATCCAAAACCAACAATCTACATCAGTCATAATATATAACACGGGGCGAGTCATGCCCGAGAACTGGCGATCAAAGTGCAAAATCTCAAAACGACCGGTCGGGTCGTTACAAAGTATGCCGACAAGCCCCGGATGCAAACTTACTATTATTCCCGTCCTACTCCTCAAGATGTGTTAATAGAGGAACGCGATTGGAATCAAACTAATACGTCTTACAGTGGTTCCGAAATTTATGAATGGAATCTTGATGGCTTAACTAATAGACAGTTAACTATTCTTGTACATAGAATGCTTATGTATTCAACTATCTGTAAAAGTGTTAAGAACACAGATAGAACTATTTACAAAATGATTATTGCAGGCTTTACTGGCCAGCTTCGTGGCTGGTGGGATAACTATCTATCTGTTGAAGAAAAAGCAACGGTTATTAATGCGACCGCTGTTGACGAAGGGGTTGATAATATAGGCATGGCTCTAGTTAAAGGTAGAGAAGATGCTGTTTATACCCTTATCCTTACAATTCTAGAATATTTTAACGGTAGATTTACCAATCAGCATGAGACCGTCCGTACTTTACTAAATGAGCTTAGATGTAGGACCCTTAGTGAATTTAGATGGTACAAAGATACTTTTATGAGTATGGTTATGGAGCTACCCGAAAACAAGTATGAACATTGGAAAGCTAAGTTTATAGACGGCCTTCCCTCCTTATTCGCTGAAAGAGTAAGAAAAGCGTTAAGAGGTAGTTACGGTGAAATTCCGTATGGAAATTATACCTATGGTAAACTTATAGGAGTGCGTACACAAGAAGGATTAAACTTGTGTAATGAGCTGAAGCTTTCTAGACAGTTGCGTACACAAGAAGGATTAAACTTGTGTAATGAGCTGAAGCTTTCTAGACAGCTTAAGATTGATAAGCTTAAAGAGAAATCCCAATTAGGTGACTTTTGTACCCAGTTCGGTTTACCCGGAACCTCTACTCAAAGTAAGAAGAAGAAGAAAAACAGATATCATAGGTATCCTAACCCTGATAGCCCGTATAAGAAAAAGAGGTCTAGATATAGATCTAAGGAAGAGCGTGATACTAGAAAAGCGCATCGGAAATCTACTCGATTTACGAAGAATAGATCAAAGAGAGATCTCGCTGATATTAAGTGTTATAAGTGTGGAAAATTTGGGCATATCGCTCCAAATTGCAAGCTTCAAAAGCTAAAGGCCTTAGAACTAGACGATGGGTTACGTGACAAAGTTTATAACTTGTTATACACTTCCGGATCAGATTCTGATTATACTTATTCTGAGACTGAGTCTGAAGCTGAGATTGATCTGATAGATTTATCTGAAAGTAGTAAAGATTTGGATAATACTTGCGCCGCTTGTAAAGGTGATATTTGCACTTGCGATGATGATGAGTTTTATAAATTGCAATCACAATTTCAAGATTTGAATATAAAACTATTACATCTGACAATGTAATAGAACTTTTAAAGGAAATTACTGATGAAAAAATTCGTAAAGAATTATAAATTTGACTGAAAGTTCTAATTCTAGTGGTTCAAAGCTTTTTGAAAGACCAAAAAACGAATTTGAATATTTTGCGCCACATTCTTTGTCTGAAGTTAATAAACGTCTTCATAAGACAAATACGCCAAGCAGAGATACTTCGTTTGAGGATTTGAAAATCGAAATTGAGAATTTGAAAATAGATATTAAGTCTCTTAAACAAAATCAAATGATTTGTGATCACCAGATTACTCAAATTTAGAAAAATAATTCTCTAACTGATTTTCCAACTGATTTTTCGGATAAAGAAATTTTCAAATTTTCAAATGAAAGGGGAAAAGAAATTTCTGATAAGATTGATTCGATTAATGAAAATTCTGATATGTTTTTAGGAATGATGCAGGTTGTTACGGCTCATAAGTGGTACATTAAATGTACTATCTTGATTGATAATACTTTCTCTCTAACTGATGTAGCAATGATTGATAGTGGAGCAGATGTAAGTTGTATTCAAGAGGGTCTTGTTCCTACTAAATATTTTCAAAAGACCACTCATTTGGTAAAATCTGCTTCTGGTCATGCTTTAGATATAGAGTATAAATTACCAAATACTCGTATTTGCCAAAATAGAGTTTGTATTCCTCATTTCTTCTTTTTGGTGAAAAACCAGTTATACCCTCCGATTATACTTGGAACCCCTTTTATTAATGCTATTTACCCTTTTAATAACATAGATGCACAGGGTTTTTCTGCTACTTATCGAGATAAAGAGATAAGTTATTCTTTTGTTACAGATCCCGTAACTAGAGATATTAATGCCTTGATTAATATGAAACAAAGGCATGTTGATTCATTACAATTAGAAATATTGAGCATGAATATATTCGATACTTTACAATCTGCTAAGGTTCAGCAAAAGATTAAATTGATTGCTGAACAGATGGCTGTTGATGTTTGCGCTGATCACCCTAGTGCCTTTTGGAACCGAAAAAAGCATATTGTAACTCTTCCTTACGAAGAAAACTTCTCCGAGGATGATATCCCCACTAAATCTCGACCTTGCCAGATGAATGCTGAATTGGTCGAATTCTGCAAAAATGAAATTGATAATTTGTTAGAAAAGGATTTGATAAAACCCTCAAAATCTCCTTGGTCATGTTCTGCCTTTTATATTAATAATGCTGCGGAAAAGGAACGTGGTATTCCTGGATTAGTTATAAATTATAAACCTTTGAATAAGCATCTGAAATGGATTAGATATCATATCCCCAATAAAGAAGATCTGCTATCTAGATTATATGACGCCAATATATTTTTAAAATTCGATTTAAAATATGGATATTAGCAAATTCAAATTTTTAAAGAGCATACTTATAGAACTGCTTTTAATGTTCCATTTGGTCAATATGAATGGAACGTCATGCCTTTTGGTTTAAAAAATGCCCCTTCTGAATTTCAGAAAATTATGAACGATATTTTTAACCCTTATCTAGATTTTATCATCGTTTATATTGATGACATATTAGTATTTTCTAAAACATTAGAGATGCATATTAAGCATCTTGATATTTTTAAGAAAATTGTAATACAAAATGGCCTAGTTATTTCTAAACCAAAAATGAGCCTATTCCAAACCAACGTTCGATTTTTAGGCCATAATATTTGCCAAGGAAAAATTACCCCGATACAAAGAGCGATTGATTTTGCTTCAAAATTTCCTGATGTTATTACTGACAGGACTCAATTACAAAGATTTTTGGGAAGTTTGAATTATATATCTCCTTTCTACAAAAGTTTATCTCGTGATCTAGCCCCTCTGTATGACAGGCTGAAAAAGGATCATAGACAGCCTTGGACTGACCAGCATACTACATTAGTCAAAAGTATTAAACAGTGTGTTAGGTCTCTACCTTGCTTAACTCTTGCTAATCCTACATGGCAAAAAATTATTAAGATAGAAGCGTCCAACGTTGGCTATGGTGGGATTTTAAAGCAAGTGAATCCCAACAATAAGAGTGAATACCTGATAAGATTTCACTCTGGTAAATGGACCGAAGAACAGAAGAAATATGCTATTGTGGCTCATGAAATGTTAACTATTGTTAAATGTGTTTTAAAATTTCAAGACGATTTATATAATCAAAAGTTTTTAATAAAAACTGATGCTCAATCTGTTAAATATATGTTTGACAAAGATTTCAAACATGATGCGTCTAAATTAATATTTGCTAGATGGCAAGCTCAACTGGCGCCTTTTGATTTTGAAATTCAATACAAAAAAGGAATTGATAATTCCCTTCCGGATTTTTTATCCCGGGAATACTTAGAGTGATTATGATTTTCTATACGACTTTTCTCGATGAAGAATTATTAATTACTATCCTTAAAGTGGTTAGATTAAATAGAGACCTACAAAGTCTCATAATTGAATTGATAATTGAAGAAATCATTGATAACCTGATTAATAATGAATTTTCTATTCATGATTATGCTGAAACTGTTAGGGATGATATGTTGGATTATTACTTCTCAGAATAAATTGACTTGTTATTTGTGCAGAATGGACCCTTCATGGGCCACCAGAGGCAGAGGTAGGGGAAGATCTTCCCCTAGTAAATCATATTCTCAAGGATCGTCATACGGATCCTCATCAAGTTCTCCGGTGATACAAGCGGGAAAAAAGAGTTTAATAAACTCTAAGATATTTCATAAAGGAGATTCATCAGTAGGTCCGTCTATACATCTGGATGATATTCCAGAAGATAATCCATTATACGGTCATCTACAGGCATATTTGGCCGCCAAAAAGCAAAGTAATACATTTGCTTCAATCGCTAGAGAAGAGGACAACGATGATATCAAGTCCTACGAAAAACTACCAAAGAAAGAAATAATATTTCTTTTAGAAAACTCTGAGATTTAGCGAAAGGATGTCACGACCCGGATTTCCCACCATCGGGTGTCGTGATGGCGCCTACTATCGGAGCTAGGCAAGCCAAATATATAAAACATTTTTCCTGCTTTCTTCCAAACAATATAATAAATGAGACAAAATTTAAACGGAAGACTTTAAATCTAAAGCAACTGAGAACCAAAAGTGCGGAAGTTTGAACCAAAATGCTACCCAGAGTCTGGTGTCACT